GAAGTCACGTGTAGACAGAACAGTAATATAGCTGTTTCTCGGATTCAGTATTTCAGGTATTTTGGATACGGATCGATAATCTTGTTCAGCACGTGCAGCGAACAGGGTCCAAAGTATGTCGGGCACGGCAGTTAGGCACCGGAAGGGTATAAAAGCTGGACGGGTATTTTTGGTCTGGTAGCCGAGTCCGAGTGTTCCGATTGGTGTGTGTGTGTGTGTATGCAAAAAGATCGCACTGTGGCACAGGAAAGCGAGTGGTTCAAAGATAGAGGTTGGTCTAAGTCAACCCATCCTCTCGCTGGTTAAGCTGGTGACATTTAGTTGAGAGGCGATCACAAGATAGGATTTGATCACTCGAGCACCGAGATCGCACCAAGGTTAATGTTGTCACTACAAGAGGACGCTTAAAAACTTAAATCGACGCTGTCAACCCGCCGACGTCTATGCACACAGGCTATCCACGAAAGTGATACCCACTTTTTTCGAAGATGGTCGTCGACCTCCGTGGATTAAAGTCCCTGTATGGGACATCCCCAAATACGGACCATTCTGATTCACTGGTGCAGAGCAAGTATGTCCTGTCACACGCTCTGAAAAATTGTAAATGAATGTACTTCGAAATCTACACCTATTTCGAAAGTTCAGTGTCAGCGAGGACTTCATAGCCTTCAACACAGCTACGTGCGTCCGATAAAAAGCGAGTCGGGATAGCCATAACAAAAGGGTGCAAGCTGAAATCTTCGAGTAAAAGACGAGCTGGAAGGCTTCCATAAATGAATGTGCAGGTCTGGATGTGTTCAATAACGTTTAATCAAGCGAAACCACCTCGTGACTGACTTCCTTGATGACGCGCAATCACTGTCAGCCGGTTGATAACAAGCTCTTAAAAGGATCATTTACGGACTGATCATCGAGTATGAAAATCCAAGAAAACGAAATAGAGCATCGGAATGAATAGATTCAAACAGGAAATGAGAAAAAAGACCTACTCCAAAAATATTGTTGCAGGTGACGACCCGGTGTAGGCCCGCGCAATTTCAATCCCATCTAGAAGAACTGAGTAGATTGACTCATCACGTCTGGGCTTCGAGGATGACAAGGCGAGCAGTTTGGCGTTATTGATCTGTGGGCGAAGGAAAGAAAGAAAGAAAGGACATCACGTGGTGTACACAGAAGAATTGCCGGTCTACGGTTATGGCACAGGACTCAACAGTGACCTTTTCTGGTCCAGTCAGTGTATTCGATGAAACCATCTGCTAACGAAGAAAACAACCTGCCTCATGATTGCTGACGGAAGTTCTGTCACCCTCTCAACTGAATTCCAACTTTAATAAAATCAAAGATACGCACAATGGTCTACTTAACACCAAAAGAAGCGAAATAAACATAGCTACAAGGGTTGCTTAGATCGATGACACTCAAATACGTTGGGAAGTTCGTTAGTCTCTGAAACGCCGTAGCACACATCGACATTCTTCCGACCAAGTGAATTTTGTCCTGCTTGTATCATGCACCAGGTTAAATTTGCCGATCTAGTGACGCAGACTCCCGTGTTCGACAGGAATAATCTATAACGCTACTCCATTTGCACGTGATGAATCCGCATTCTCGTGCAGATAGCCAAGCAACCCAAGTAAACTGCATGAAATCATGTATACGGGGTTCAGTCAACGGCAAAATGACATGACGTCTTCTTGGATTAGGCTCGAAATGAACTCATTCTTTGGTAATTGACCAGGTGGCTGCTGATCTGTTCACCGAGCTTGGCAATTGATTTGCAAACGTTTTGTCACCATTCGAGGAGACATCTTTAGTGCGCTGTTAGTTGGGTAGTTCCTCTCTTCGCGCCTGCGTTTATATAGTTTACGAATAGCAGCCTTTGCGCTGTAACCTGGGTTTTGGTTGGTCCGTCTCAATTTGTGTTGAGTTGTGGTTTGTATTTCTTGCTTCCTACAGCCATGCTCTTGCTGAAACTGTCGCCCATTGATCTCTTTCGATTCGCCCGATCTTGATCTGTATTGCGTCGTGGTTGGCTTCTCTGTTGGCTTGTAGCGTACCTCATATTTTTAGTAGTTTGCTGTTCTATTGATTTCTTCATTGAGTCCTTGTTCGACCTCGGGTTTTGTGGTTCTGGATTTCCTTTGTCCTCAGAGGCTGGTAGACAGGATCAATCTCAATGCGCCTGTTTATTGCTCCATCAGTGGGGTGCCACGCCTCCATGAACTCGCGTTCTTTATGTGTTCTTGCCTGGCCGAGTATTCTGACGTTATTCTGATCGAAATTGTGTCCTTCTCCATCTTTGTGTGCAGAGATGAAAGAGAATTGGTCGTGTCTCCTGGGGAAGAGCCTGTGTATGTTGATTCTGGTTGACAGTTTCCTCCCTGTTTGTCCCACGTGGTGCCCAGGTTACAGCGCAAAGACTGCTATTCGTAAACTATATAAACGCAGGCACGAAGAGAGGAACTACCCAACCAACAGCGCACTAAAGATGTCTCCTCGAATCATGACGAAACGTTTGCAAATAAACTGCCAAGCTCGGAGAACAGATCAACAGCCACCTGATCAATTACCAACTAATACACCCGAGCTACCAATATTCCAACACAGTACCGAACTCATTCTATTAGCCTTTTTTAATGGAATACCATCCACAAAAATCTGCCGATCACGCTGTGATCTAATGAACGATTTAAAAATGAAAGGTCTTTAGAATGTTGTGTACAGTGAATAGAGAGCGGTCATTGGAAACCAACTGAATTCACTGGGCGAACAGCCATAGGTTTTGTTTCTGCGAGAGTCCACAAGTCAAACCTTCGATCGTTCCTGAGATTCAATCCTTCATTCGTCTGCATAGAAATCACCCGAAATCCAGGCTTGCTCAACTAGTACCGTCAAAGGTAGAATATAAGGTTCACGGAAACTTGAAAACTGCGCCCAACAGGATCGAAACCGGTCGTGGATTGTCCAGGAGTTTTCAGCAACCTTATGAGTAGTATGCTACGACAACCCAAACTGAACTTTTTCTAAGCAATCCACATAAATTTACAGCGACTGACCCAAGGATTCCAGCTAACTACGTACATCAACAATCTGTGCAGGACAATGGACTTCCTTTTTTAAAAAGTCCACAAATCGCACGGACCCTCCACCTGAGACTTCGTTAACCGAGGCCAGGCGTCGTGAATAGCGTAGCTGAAGGTTTGGTGACACCATAGCCAGCGCTCCCAATGATTCCTATGAAAAAAAGTACACGAATTTTCGGGGTTTTTTGTACCAAAGACTGACTTCATTTGTTGAAAAATCACAACCGGAATTTTGAAATCTTCAAACCGCTTGCAAATCAACGAAGGTAACGAAGCGTCAGGTGTAGCATGCGATCGTTCTCTTTATCTGAACGGGCTTTTCCCTTAGGAGATACCAAGATACCAAGCGTAACTCATTAGACCTAGAACACTTTCGGTTGGCCCTGAGGGATGGCCTAACGAGATTTACTAAGCGGAACGTCCGCGGTTCGAACCCGACCCCTGACTCTTGCCTTTCACTGCCGAACCTCCGGCAACCTGGCAGTATCCGAGTCCTCGTGCTTCCTTCGAGTGGGGTGGCAGTTAGGCACAGAAAGGAGGCTACAGCTGAGCAATATTTTTTTTCTAAACGACACAGGGGCTTCGGAAACTTCCCCAGGGAACACGACCAACTGACATCGAAATCACGGACTGGATTTTGAGACGAGGAGACAACAGTTGTATCGAAGCAGAAATCTACCATACTAACTGCTCGCATCACATAGGAACGGTCGTTGTAGACAAGGCGCGTTGTAGAGGGGCAGCGTACGTTAATAATATCGTTGATAGTTTTATGTAAAGCGGCCACAAACCCCAGTGCATCGATCTGGGCACATTTGCATAAACTGTTGGCTAGGTGTCACCATCCATTCCGGCTTTACGGAAAAGTTTACCAGCATTTATGTAGAATTACCAACGAGAAAGACACTAAGCCCGACCAGGATGCCGAGGTGGCTTGGATCACCGTTGTTACTCGCTCGATTCGGAGGAAATCCGCACTTGTATGGATTGTTGAGTGGCTCGCGAGCATTTGTCCAATCAGTATACGTAGTGCTTAAAAACTACGGTCGCAAAAGCGTAGTTTAAGCGCCATCGACCACGAACTGCGTATATACAGTGCTTCCTTTGGCCGCCGTAATCTCGTACGCTCACGGGATTCGACATGTGGATAGTTAGGTGATCAGGAAGTATGCCGGAAGTATGCTGTGACGATGAACGTGTTTGTCGCCATCATCAGTTCTAAAAACCGTGTACTTATCGTATAGCTGCCACAGTTTCGTTCACTGGTGATTTTGGGAGGTGGGATAGGTAGCTGCGCATCTGAAGCTGGAGTTGGTAAATTGTTGCGTAAACATAGTGGGGAGATTGGGAGGGGCTATGCATTGAAAGCGATAGCTTGGGTGAATGAGCACTTTCAGGATGTAACGACGTCATGTCTGACAATGTCTACAACCATCGACGTGTCCCACATTGGGATCTACATACAGGGAGACAGCAATGACCGGGCAACTGAGTTCGCTGGAAACGGCTTTCGTACTTCACTACCAAGTCATTGTTTGACCCTGGCTCGTTGCGCATCTGAAGCTGGAGTTGGTAAATTGTTGCGTAAACATAGTGGGGAGATTGGGAGGGGCTATGCATTGAAAGCGATAGCTTGGGTGAATGAGCACTTTCAGGATGTAACGACGTCATGTCTGACAATGTCTACAACCATCGACGTGTCCCACATTGGGATCTACATACAGGGAGACAGCAATGACCGGGCAACTGAGTTCGCTGGAAACGGCTTTCGTACTTCACTACCAAGTCATTGTTTGACCTCACCTGGCTCGTTTCCACACCTCACGTGGTTGTGCGTTCGACTGGCGTCGTGGCCAAGCCAGCGTAACTAATGGTCCGGATACCGAACTCAATGCCGTGCACGACAGAGCGATGTTCTCCCACGTTCTGGGTTGATGGGGACACCTAAACGGATTTGGGTCCACCTTAAGGTCTACTGCTTTTGGTTCACGTGAGGATCCATTTTAGACGTTGCCTGCACTTTTCCTGTGTTCGGAGCTAGTGCTACGATAGTTGTGTAAGGGAGATGTATTCTGTGAACTTTGGTCAGGTTGGGATTTCCACCCCCTGTTTTTGATAATGATCCGACGCGTATCGACAACCACAGACTCACGTGCCAACTCCGCTTATCTAAGACCGCTTTCCATACGCTCGCCAGTTCCACACCCTCGATTCTATTCACGCTGTGATGTTTGGTGATTCCTATCGCTTCGGCTATCAGCCACTGTGGTGTGAATCGGTGTGAAGTGGGACACTAGAGTGAGAAAACAGGAAACTTGATAAAACCACTAAGATACTATTATACTCATTAGTTCTGATTGTAGTGTGACAGATGAGGTGAATGCACAAACCTTCAAAGCTCGGGCCGCGTTTGCTAATTTGAGACACCAATGGCGTCAGAATGGTTTATCCCAGAACCTGAAGGGACGTGTGTATCAAGCTACAGTACGGGCTATTTTGTTGTATGGATGTGAGACTTGGCCTATTCGAGCAGCGGAACTGAGATATCCTCAAGCGTTCGACAATCGTTGTCTCAGAACCATAGCTCGTGTAGGT